TACAAAAATGCCTGATTTCATTACAGTTCTTAGTTCGCTGAAAGTTTGCGGAAGACTTATGACCGTGCGAATTTGCTTAAAAATTTCATGAAAGTCTTTGATTAATCCACAAAGATAAAATTAGATAAAGTTCATGTCAGGTTTTTTTGGATATTCTGCTTAAGCACAGTTTATCGAGAACCAACATTCTAACCGGTGTTTGCAACCAAAGTCTTGTTCCCATAAATTAATTATTTTTTAACAATATTGTAAATAATATGAGACTTAGGTTTCTTAATTTTTTCACATTTGATTCTGCTTACTAGGCAGAAACTAAACATGTAGAAAATTTTTGCGGTAAGAAAAACATTACAGGACACTTATTGAAGCCCATTCTTAATGTTAAAAATAAGTGCAACAATAATCGTAGCCAAACTGTAGCCAACCCATTTATTCCGGGGCTCAGTAACGAAATAAAACATGACCTAGAGAATTAAGGTTTGCGAATCTAGTAGGAAAAGTGTTTCGTTTGGATCTGAAATCTACCGGAAATTTCATCAGCAAGAAGGAGCGACCGAGATGAACGTGGTTTATAAGATCGAATGCAATGACTGCCATAAGATCGACATCGAAAATCGATCTGCCATAAGTCGATTACACAAAAAGGCCAAGGAGCATCTAGCAACTCTGAGGAAGGGAAAACAGTGCAGTGTGGTGTCGATTTCCATGCTTTCTTCTTGGAACAGTTATTTGGTCCAACGAATGTTATTTTCCTTTTTTGAAAAGATAACAAACATTAGACTATTAATTCAAAAATCGATGTATATGGCTAACGAAGATTAAGTGTATAATTAAACACGCCCCGAGCTCGTTTCGTTCACTGGCAACTGGAATGTCATTAAGAACTGATGGAACAAACGTTCTCTTGACTCAAACGCTTGTCACCTTTGTCATATTATCGTGATATTTTTTTATGTGTTATGATTCTGGTATGCGGTGTCGGTAAGTTAAACGAATCTGTATAGTTCTTTTCGGTCGTTACCTTGAAACAAGAAACATGAAGATTCGACTGCAGGCAGCGAATCGATATCCCTTCCATAACCATATTTTTTGCTTTTTATTTTGAAAAGTAATGAGAAACTCAGGATCACATTATAAACATTTTAAGACAACTAACGAAGCTTTTACTAATGGCACGTATTGAATAACATCTCTTTTCGTAGATCTAACGGAATTAGCCGCGAAGAGGAACGAGAAGATGATCAAGTCCGTCAGTCAGGTGAATCTCATATTCAGTTTTGTAAGAGGCTGAGGCGATAATCTTCACACGTCTGTTTTTTTAGTATATTCACAACGAAAGTCCAGGGGATGGCACAGTGGCAGAAGAGTCTGCTACCAGCGAACAACAGCCAGCGCAGAAAATCTCCAAACCGTCATCACCAAAGTCTGTACCTCCCGACAGATTCGGCATTCAGTCATCTGCCGACAGTTTTAGAGACCGTCTTGAATCAGGTGAGTGAGCTAGTTGTTGAGGAAACGACCTCTGCCAAATTTGCATATGTGGTTTAAGGACTGTTTTGCATGTTTAATTGATCTTTAAATAGCAGTTGGCTTTTATTGACAAAAAGTGCATAGTCAAATGGACGAATGCCGATATTACGTACTACGCTTTATTGCGCGGTTAACGACAATGTAGTGAGTACGTGTTGTCTAGCACTACTAACCG